CGCGGGGGCGACGATCAGCAGAAGGAATCTCATGGACAGGACTGAGCGTTGCAGTGGGCAAATATTTGGTCTCACTTGTGTTGCAGCGTGCCCGGGGAATCTATCCGCTGCTCCTCATGCATGATCATTCATGTCGCGGAGTGTCTCTGGGAGAGCGTCACCCGCAAATGCCTTCTCCGCGTCGGCGGGTCGGCCCATCGGATTGCTTCGGCGCGACGTGTGACGGGCAGAGCAGGGCCTGAGCTACGCGCTGCTGCAATCTCGTCGCAGTCGCCAATGATCAATACGCCCACTTTCTCCTCGCCCAGAACAGGCATCGAGGGGCTCTCGCCCCAGCGAGCGCATTCGGCGCGCTGCCGTTCCCACTGGGCCGCAGCCGCGCGTTCGCCCAATAGCTCCATCAACTCTTCGTCGGAGATCTGCGGCGGAATGTCCGGCGCGCTGGCGAGTCGGAAGCGCCCCGCCCCGAGCGCCTCGGGCAGCGCGGTTGCGGGGGCATCGAGGGCGATCGGGCCGGAAAGAATGTGACCCAAGTCAGTGTTGACCCACGGTCAACTATGGGGGCAGCGGTTCAGAATTCGCAGTCTGCTGCTCCGCTTGCATGTCGACGTCGGGCACGCGTTGAACTTCCGAATATTCCCCTTCCTCACTAGGGATTCCTGACTCGGCAACCGCAGTCTACAATGAAATACATGCGCGCGCCAAAGGGTCGTCCTATCCCAGCAGGATCCGCCACGGGCGGGCCCTCTGGGTCCACGACTGGCGTGGGAGGTTGGACGTCCGAATCCCTGTCGGCATACGAGTCATGGGCAAGTGCCGCAGAGGCCCGAAGAGGCGGGGGAACCGCGGCACGGCCATGGGCCACCGTCACATCGACAACCAATCCGGCAGATTGGACGGCGACCTGCTCCCGATATCGCGCTCCTCGTCATCGGAGAGGCCAGGCCCGCGTCCTGCGCGTCGGCTAGACGCGCTCGCCAGGTCCCCGAGATGTTCGGTGCACTGGCGCTCGTATATATTGCGGTCGTCAGCGGCAAGATTGTCGTCAAGGCAATGCGTTCTTGCGTTAGCCCGATGATCATGCGCCATGTGTTGGGGCGTGCACATTTCTGTGGATCGCGGCAGGAAAGCCACATTGTTGGCAGTCGATCGCTGGCGGGATAGGCATGCCCTCGCGAATGTTGCTCGCGCTGGAACAGTCGCACCCCGGCTTCGGACAAATATGCGCGTGGTGAATGTAGGACATGGCCACAGACGCGGCGGTCACGATTCGCGCCAGTGTTCATATCTTGCAGATCCAAGAAGGCGCTGAGGCTGGTTCCTAAGGCCCCGAGGCTGGTCATCGGCCATGCGACAAAAACAAGTCCTGTCGCTGATCCTGCAAATCGGCTCGAATCCAGCCAAACCGAAACACCCCCGAGAATTCTTTTGGCTGCCCAAGGGGCGACGTCGGAACTGCATAGCCAGCGCACGCAGCTGCTCATCCCCTGGAAAGCGACGCAACAAGCCACGGCTCCTCGCGCGCGCGCGTGCACGCGCAAGCTGTCGCGTCTCAGGAAGAAGGCCAGCGGCACTGCCGCTAAACAAATGCCCCTGATGTCCGTCTTCATCCTCTGAGGACGATGTCACGGTCATCGCCTGCGGTTGCTGCCCCGTCAGTGCCGCACGCGCTCGCGGGCGTGCTGAAGCTCTCCAGCGAACGGCCCGTCCACATCGTATCGGGCTCAACGCTTGTTGGGATCAGAACCTTGAGATCGATGCCCATGTAGCTACGGTATGTGGCAAGTGTTCTGAGGGGTCAGTACCGTAGGGCATGAAGAATGCATGCGTCCCAAGGTCCAGGAACCAGTAAGGCCCAAGGCTGTTTATGAGTTACGTAGTCGATGAATGACTGCACTCGTGTTCTCCACTCGGGCGTAATCTACTCAACTTGGACCTTCTGACATGCACTGCCCATCTCCTGCCTGGCCTCCCGCAGGTTTCCTTTTGTCCTGACGTGGTGCCACTGACGCCGCGCAGATCCGCCACCTCCCCGATTCCCCAAAAAGGTCCACGGGCCGCGTCTCCCGCTGGCCACCTTCGGCCTCCTGGAGCGGGGCAGGGCCCAAGAGGGCCCCGATACCCACTTCGAACCCATCCCCGCTGGAAACTGACGAGTTGAACTCCCATTGGCCTCTGGCGTGCGATTGGAGTGCAGCAGCGAAGTACGGCCACAGGGGCGCGCGAACGATGTTTGAGGGGTGCAGGCAACACGACTGCCTTCCCCCGCCTGGGCTGTCGTCGACAGCAGAGAAGCCATCCCGGCATCCCGTCCGCGTTGCGGGAGCGAGCATCTGGAAGTCACAGGTGACGTCCAAACCGCCCCCGAACATCTCGCAGGCGGTAAAGTACCCAGTGTGGATCAAAGGTGCTGCTTCTGTGTCCTCACAAGCATGCGCCCCTCGGCCTGCATCCTGGAGCCTCTCTTGGCTTTGGTCCTCTCACCATCGGCCTCGCGCGAAATCGCGGATGCGCCGGCGTTGAAACTGCGCCTATGCGCTTCGCGTCGACCGCATGGGAGACGAAAAGTGGAGAAGAAAAGCCAGCCCTCGCTCCGCTCGTGCTCAATGAAATCCGTCGGCAGCGCGAACGGGCGAGCAAGTATAGCATGACGCTCGTTAACCTCGCAACGCATGTCGCCCAAGTCGACGAAGTCTCAAAGCGTCGAGTCCGGGGCACTGTCAGTGTACAGTCGCCCGGAGGCCAACCACTCGATAACATGGTTATCGAGGTAGCCTTCCGACGGCATCGGTGGACGAGCCACGCGACTGCGCTGTGCAAGCCAGCCCTGTGAGTATGTATGTGTAACCTCTGCCCTCGCTCATACTTCGCGCTCTTCATCTGGGGCAATGTATGTTGCAAGCTTCTGTGTGGCAATTTCCTGCAGTGAGTATCGCTTCCACAAGAAAGCCTAATATACTTCACCGTCGAAAGAAATAGGTCTGTCGAACAGCACGTCTGGGGCAGCCGTACTGCGTCTGCCCTGATTTATGATGATCGGCGACTGGCGTTGTTCTGACGACTTGAAAGCCTTTTTCACAGCGAGCGATCTTTCTGCCCATGCAGCACCTCAGGTACAGCTCTCCATTATGCATAATTAGGCGAATGTTCCAGGATGCTGTTCTGGATGATAATCCACTTAGCGAAAATGCTCACGTTGGGTTCCTTCGGGTCATCCGCAGCGAACATCTGGGCCATGTGACCCGCCCACTTGAGAACATGTGCCTTGTCATCACCACCACCCCAAACAGAAGCCACATTGATATGTTATGTGCTGCACTCGTGACCCCCAACAATTCATGTGCTGCTCGGCCGTCTCTTCGGGGACCGGCGCCAACGAAAAGCGTCATTCTCAAGATGGACTACAACCCCTTCAGCTTTGAAACTTGCGTAGCAGTGAGACTATAGCTTTCAGAGCACCAGACCAAAAGAGGAGGAACAGGGAGGATGGAAAAGGAGGAGGAATGAGAGTGAAGGAAGGAGGGCGCTGGTTGAAAGGTGGGGGAACAAAAGGTATCGATACCGCTACTCCACAGACCTCTCCCAGGGCGCGTTCTGACCAGGACTCAAAGCAAATACAATCGTAGCGACGAGGGAGGGGTAGCGGTACGATATCGGTATACGGCCCTCCTCTGAGGGGAGGGGGGCTGGAAAAAGGGGTGGAGAAAGAAGAAACAAACTTTTGGACGCCCGAACAGGATACGGACAAAAATTGGTACGATGCCTAGCAGCCGATGTTGCCCAAAACTGGCAGCGGCCGCTGCTGGGCATGCGGCCTCCTGTCTCAAACGAACAGCGCCCGCGGCGGCACGGACAGCGAGCCCTGATTAAAATGGACTTGAACTGGAGACAAGTCTTCTCGGCGGTGGACAAACCTCCCTTTAGCAAATCTCCCCCTTTGTGAAAACGGCCTGGGACCGAAACCGCCGGACCTGGACCTGCAAAAACGACGGCCGCGACGCCCTCTCGCGGACGGGAAACGGCCAATTCGCTAATCGACGTGTCAGGGCAGGAGGTCTATCAACCTTCGATTCTATCATTCGCAATCGCGCCCGTTGCCGGCCCCCCCCCCTGGCCACGTCACGACTCGCGCTGGCGCCGTCATGGAACTGGCCACTCCTGAGCACTCACAGATCCCAGACGGCGCCAGAGCGAATCGTGACGTGACTTGCCACCTCCCCCCCTGGCCCAGCCCTTTGCGACATCGTCTTGTATTGTTCAGAGATGGCCCCGGTCATCCGGGGAAAGAGAGGGGTGGCGCTGGCGAAGAGCCTGGGATTTTTTCACTTTGGGGAGCCCCACGTACGCCAGCGCGCACCAGTGATGAGCAACCGACAGTGTCAAATCAGGGGTGGGCATAAACGGTGTTTTGGCGATTTCGTGGGCCGTTTTCGTTTCGAGTTCGTTTTGCGCTCAAGGCGGATTGAACACAAAACGAGGGAAAACGAAAACAAAACGAAAATGAAAAACACCGTTTAGGTTCAGCCGTGTCAAATTATTCGAGGAGGGGGGGGGGGCTTCCGCCGGACCCTGAAGAAGCAGTCTCCTTCGGCCTTCGGGAGCGGACCAAGAGTCGGGTGTTGCTAGAAGTGCCCCTGGCCCAAGGCACCCCCAGCTTTTCGCTCCATGTCTGGGCCTCTGGGGCCCTCTGGGCCTCGTTAGGGGTGCTCTGGGGGCACCTTGGGCCAGGGGCATTTCTAGCAACACCCGAAAGGAGTGCTCTCCCGCTGCCGGCCTTCGTCTGACCCTGAAGAAGCAGTCTCCTTCGGCCTTCGGGAGCGGACAGCTGCTCGAGGAGGAGGAGGAGGAGGAGGAGGAGGAGGAGGAGGAGACCTCCTCCTCCTCCTCCGCCTCCTCCTCCCGCAGCCCCCTCCTCCCTGAAGAGCGCCCTCCCGCTGCCGGCCCTCGTCCCCGCTGCCCTCCGCACCCGGCTCCGCAGAGCTGCCCGGCCCTGGGCGGGCCTCCGCTGCGGCGCCTGCTCCGCCCTGCAGTCCTCCAGCAGCCCCGGCAGCTCCCCTCGCCCGAGGCGCCGCCTGCGGCAGGCGGCGGGCCACGTGCGACCCTGAAGTCGGGCGTGTCCCCCTACGGGGGGATTTTCGACGAAAAATAAAAAATACCCCGAAAATACCCCAAGAAGGTCAAAAAATATTCAAAGAATAGTCCCCAGACTATGTTTTGACAATTTTTGATTATTTTTTGGATATTTTTCATTATTCGACGAAAATCCCCCTGTAGGGGGACAGGCCCGACTTAACCCTACCCCCCACGATTTTCGGGCCGGGCGAAAGGGGGGATAGCAAAGGGGAGTGTGAGAATCAGCTCGCATAGCTGATTTTCCTGGCGCCTCCCGGCGCCGGGAGGCGCCCGTGTATCGAGGAGTGGGCCCGGCGGCGGGGCCGAAACCAGCTGCAAGCAGCAGATCTCGTCCCCCCCCCTTTCCCTATCCCCGCCTTTCGTCCAGCCCGAGACTTCTGAGGAAGAGAGTAGGGTCCACTGCGTTCGGGAGCTCCCGAGCGAAGTGAACCCCGTCAGGAACTCGCACCGGCCCTCGCCAGACCGCACGCCGGCCTGCGGCGGGCGGGCTCTCGCGGGGCCGGCGCCGGGCGTGCGAGAAGCTGGGCCAGGGAACCTTTGGCGGGTTCCTCCTCCTCCTCCTCCGAGATCGTGGGGGGCAGGGGTGGGGTTCGCACGTGGCCCCCTAAGCAGGCGGCGGGAGCGGCCCAGGAATCGGCGGTGGACAAGCCTCCCTCTGGCCATCGCTCGGGCGTCCATTCCCTCTGCTTTTTTCAGTCTCGTGCGTGGTTTTTTCGCCGAATGATCAAGGATGCTCCTCGAGGGCCTTCGCCGAAGGAAAAAAGCACACGTCCGAGCGATGCCAAGCCCTGGAGCAGACCTCCCTTTTGTGAAAACGGCCTGGGACCGAAACCGCTGGACCGGTACCCGCAAAAACGACGGCCGCGATGCCCTCTCGCGGACGGGAAACGGCCAATTCCTGAATCGACTTGTCAAGGTAGGAAGTCTATCCACCTTCGATTCTATCATTCGCAAAACTGGCAGCGGCCGCTGCTGGGCATGCGGCCTCCTGTCTCAAACGAACAGCCCCCGCGGCGGCACCGACAGCGAGCCCTGTCCAAAATGGACAAGAACTGGAGACAAGTCTTCTCGGCGGTGGACAAATCTCCCTTTAGCAAGTCTCCCCCTAATGAAAACGGCCTGGGACTGAAACCGCCGGACCTGGACACGCAAAAACGACGGCCGCGACGCCCTCTCGCGGACGGGAAACGGCCAATTCGCTAATCGACGTGTCAGGGCAGGAGGTCTATCAACCTCCGAAGGAAGGGCGCCTCGGAGAGAGGCCAGCCATCTCCAGAGTCTGGCGGCTCGAGTGGGAGAGGGCAGCCCCCCCTCGTTTGGGGGAGGGGCGGGGGGGGGGGACAGGGAGGAGCAGCAGGAGGACCGGGGAGAGGAGGATGGAGAAAAGGAGGAGGGAAGAGAGGGGGGGGAACCGGGCCCGCTTCAAACGGAGCTGGCGCGGACGCCGCCTCGGGCACGCGGTGGTGGAAGTGGCACGTGCGCCGCGGCGCCACCCGCCTCTGCCCGAGCCAGACCCTCCAGGTCGGCCCGGCCCAAGACTGCCGAGCAGGACGGCCTGGCTGCGGAACGCACCCGTAGAGCCGCCAGGTGCGCCATAGTCACGGGCGGACGAGGGGGAGGAGACGCAGGACGAGTATCAAGGAGTAGAAGGGAAGGATTGACGGTGGAGGAGAGGGTGATCCTGAGATCCGACCTTGGCGAGCCACGATCAAAGACAAATCGCGACCGGAACCCTAAACCGCATCCTTTTGCCGCATCAAGCGAGTTGGATCGGTATGTGATGGCCCTGGGTCACAAAGCAGGGTGAAAACGCCTGGTGTGAAAACATTCAACTCTTCCTCGGCTGTAGGCCACCCTTCTAGAACCTGCATAAGATGCAGGCAAACGCTACGCTCGAGCGGCTCTTGGTCGGTAACTTCCGAATCCATTACTACTTTTTCCGCCTCGGGCAAAGGGTGCCAAGGCCAATGATAGCTTGTCACCAGCAACAACAAACATTGCAACGCGGGGGTCCAATAGTTGAAACGGAGGAGGAGGACGAGGATGATGAAGAGGAGGAGAAGGAGGAGGAGGCGAAGGGGGAGGGGGGAGAAGGGGGAGGATAGGGAAGTGACCTCGCTTTCCCACTGGTCCCCATCAGCCCTGTGATGAGGATGGGAGGAGTTCCAGGGGCACCCCAGACACCAAGATTACATGTAACCGAAGCGGCAGCGGCGAGTGAGCAGAGCTGGATACAGAGGTCAACACGAGGCCTGAAGGAGCATACTGACAAAACCACTCCTTCAAAGCCTAGGCCTTCACAGCCGAAACGCAAAACTGTATGTAAACAATCAGACATAATGTGAAAACCATCGCGGGTGCTCATGTGAAACACTTTCTCGCAGACTGAGCCGATTTGAACGGGATACCGGCCTGCTACACAGCATTCATGACTGAAGACGAGCAAGCATCGACCTGGAGATCTAGGTCTCCGATGTTTCCAGGCGGCCGTCCGCGTCCTCGGGCACAGGTGCCCAAGATGCGTCAACTCACTCGGTGAGTCTCATCATCCCGCCCTGAAGAGTGCTCAAGATCAGCTCGAACTCCGACCTTTGTCCTGGGAGCGTGGAGCGCCCAACCCCGACTGAGACGCGAGACGCTCCAACTGCAACTTCTGGCCCTGGTCGGACGAGGTGTGGAGATGAGACAGACGCCCGCCACGGCAGCCAGCATCCTGAGCCCACACTTCTCCAAACGTGCTTGCCGCAAGACAGCCTCTGCCCCTGATCGCTCCCTCCCTTGACGCGCAAGACGCGCGTTCTGGACGCGCTCGTCGAGGTCCTCGCCAGCGTGGCTCTCCAAGCGACGACTCACCTCGGCTGCTAGAATGGGCACGCTCGCGAGCCGTGCCTGCGCGAGCAAGACTCCGTGCTCGGTCACCAGATCCGGAGTGGTCGGCTTGGCCACCTGGCTGGTCAGCTGGCGCCAAAGCGCCATCGCGTCGGTGGCCGCGTCTACGGGGTCACGAACGACATGGATCACCTCGTCCTAATCGCACGGTTCCTGGGTCGCTTGATTCTTGTTCGGCCACAAGCAGGGCCACCTTCTGGATACTTGGTTTCCCTCGGATGCGGCGACGAGAACCCGCTGGAACTGGGGGGTCGACTGGAGACGGGGCCTTCGAGTTCTCGAAGCGCCCCCGAGAAATTGGCGGTCCTGGAACAAGGACTGGCACGAGTGATGGCATGGGCGACGCCCCTGGAATACCCGTTGGCAAAGCCGCATTGGTATCCGGGGCCTTCGCGATTACCTGGTCGGGCGTTCCTGCAGGTCGCCCTGGTCGCCCTGCCCCCAGCGGGGTCGGCGGTCGCCCCCCCTCATCATATGCGCTGAATGCGCGCGACCGCCTACTGAGCTTAGACGGCGTTGCTCGGATGAGAGGACCTGGCCCACCATCTCGCCAACGCAAGTTTCACTCGCAGTGGACGGGTGCAATTGGGAGGACATGTCTTGATGGAGATGCCCCCGACGCGGTGGCCGCCGGCGACTGCCCCGCAGTCCGATCAATGTCCCCGCGCCATGCCACCTAGCGCGCCTTTTTCGCCTTCCTCCCATCTGCCGCCCTGCAGCCTTGGTTTTGAAAACTGCGCGCGGCCCAACTCCTCGCTGCGACTGTCCGTCGCTGGCTCTGGCCATCCCTGGCTTGGCTGGCCAGCCGATGAAGAAGAAGACGACTGCGAACCCGGGCGGGAACGCAAAGAGGCCCCGTCGCACCGACCGCATCAACGGCGCCCTGAAGCAAATCCCTGGGGAGCCCTGGTTCTTGACCCATAGCGCGCTGACAAGAATAGAAGCCGCTCACCCGCAACTTCCGCTGGTCGGCGTCGGTAGTGGCGTCGACGCGCCCCATCCAAATTTGGGAAACTGGCCGGCTGAACTGCCCCCGACACTATCTGATAATACCTTTCCACAAGTGCCAGTGTGGGGGGGCGCGCTCTGGCAGGAAGGGGCATGGCCAACCATGCGAAGCGCTGGCGCAGCATGCTTCTCATGTTTCTACCCTGGAACGTTAGTTGCGTCGATCCCTACCTGCTGATTGAATTCCATAGTGTAGCTTCCTGAGCCGGCCCACAACGGCTCGGGCACCTTGCTTTTGCCGAGTATGTCGCCTAGGAAAGATCGCGAAAATCAGGTCGCTTCAGCGCGCCCCTCCTCCGCATCCCAATATCCTGACTATCTCCCGTGGGGCGGCGTGTCCGAGATTGACGCGTAGCTTCGGTCGGGCAAGGCGAACGTCGTTCGCGCTCGCTCGAAATCGCTGGAGTCGATGGGTCACCAATGGCTGGTCAAGACCTGCGGCTAGACAGCCGTGCTCGAGCCCGGCGGCGAGCAAACTACTGCTCGCGACCCTCGCGTCTGGAATCCTCCTTCCCCCAAGTCAGCAGCGGACTCCCGCGAGCGGCCTAGAACTGGTCAAATTCGCCGGCCCCTCTGGGAACAACTACGCAAAGGAATCGCGCGCAGATGCCGGCCCAGCGGCTCCGCGACTCACCGCGGGAAGCCCCCTCGATCGTCGCGCGCCCATGGCCCCCTGGGCGTATCTTTCCAATTCGCTTCGCAAAGGGCAAAGCCAAAACCAACATCCGACATCGTTTCTGCGCAAACCTCCCCAAGCCCCCTCAAACCGCGCGCGCACATGTCGAGAAGCGTCTCGTAAATTCGTTCCATGAGTTCGCGCGTCTTGGATCGCCCAGGCCGTCGATCGATGCGGGCGCTCATCGCGTCGCCGCCGCGGTCAAGCTGCGCGCGCATCTCTTGCGCGCAGCATCTGAATGCGATGCGCCCGCGCGCCTCGCGCACTCTGCGCGCGACCGCGGCCGCGCTGAAATGGCGCGCGCTCGCTGTCGAGAAACTGGGCGCGCAGCCGACGAACGGGGTGGGAAAGTTTGAGCCTGTTGGG